TTGAACTAGGCTTATCTGACCTCAGAGACTACACTCTGTGAGGAGATACTTAAGGTAAAAGAGGTCAATATAGTAGGAAGTAAGGGGTGAACCAGCTGCCCTGGACATTGGCTGTTTGCGCCTCCTTTATCTCATGGTGCACGTCATTTTACCTTCCTTTGCCCACAGCCCGAATGCTACTTGGGCATCCACCCCTGCCTCACTCTTAGGCCCATGGTCTGGTTCTCAGCAGTGGAGCACGTATCCCAGGCCTGTGCCAATCAGCATGTGTGTTCCCTGGCCATGGTGCATGGTTTAGTGTGTAAATGTGATCTAAGCCTGTTTAATCATAATAGATATCTGGACATGAACTCTGCTCTTTCCTGCTAGACTGAAACTGGATGACATTAAGTCTGGGGCTACTGCAGCTATTCTGCCACCTAGATCTGCCCGGGACCACTATATGGAGTTCAAGAATCAATTCAGAAGTGGGCACAGCCCAGAGATTGACTTATAATGATATTGTCTGAGCCTTAAACCCAGCTGTTTCTAAAGCTACATCTATTCTGAACTTTCCAGTGACATGAACCAATTCATTCCCCCCTCAAGGTAAATCTGTCTGCATCTTCTGTAACCTTGCAATCAGGAGTCCTACTACGCCACATTCATACAGAAAGCATCTGCCCATATGACTAAGCATGGAAGCATTTGGGTGAGAGTCAAGGAGAGGAGAGAACAAAGCACTACTATTGGGCCGCCCCCTTAACAGTGACGCAAGTTTTCCCATGCAGATCACCAAACTGGAGGAAAGGGAAGGCTTAGTTCGGCCTGACAAATAATTCTAACTAACCAAATGTCTGAACATCTTATTCTGGAAAAAAACCCCACAAAACAGAACATTTACTAAAGTCTGGATTTGCTTCGCTGACAATTTCATCTCTCATAAAATTAAGAGGAAATGATTTGCTGCCTTTATTCTGACTCAGAAGGTAGAACAAACTGTGATTTTTAAAAAAATATATATCTTTTTACTGATTTCAGAGAGGAAGGGAGAGGGAGAGAGCTAGAAACATCAATGATGAGAGAGAATCACTGATCACCTGCCTCCTGCATGCCCCAACTGGGGATCGAGCCTGCAAGACGGGCACGTGCCCTGACCGGGAATCGAACCTGACCTCCTGGCCCATAGGTCGATGCTCAACCACTGAGCCACGCCAGCCAGGCAAACTGTTCGTTTTTTAAAAGGAAAACATGATTATGGGATTTTAAGAGTTTATTAAGAGCATAATAAGAACAAATCCTAAAAGTTCAGAGGAAACCTAGGGACAATACAAAATTCAGAGCCTGAGACCCTAAAAGGGAAGGCAGCCTGAGAGAAAACAAATGGAGCCCTCCCAAACCAAAACCTGGCCGTTAATTATGAATTTTCAGGTAAGGAAACGTAAAATACAGGTTGGGGCAAAAGCAGGTTTATAATGACCAATACTGCAATTAATAAATAATAATACAAGAGTAAACTCTGTGTTTCACATACTCACAACTGTAGGCCACCTTTTGTCCTACCCTGTATATCCAAATCTCAGCTAGCAAATTAATCCTGAATGGCTCAAGGCAGACATGACTTACCAATCACAGCGCCTTTTCTTGTTAAGCCCAATTTCATTCTCCAGTTATCTCTGACCCAGTGCCCTAGTCAGCCACGATGAATTGACCAAAGCTGGGACACAAGAATGCACCCAGTTTCCACTGCTGGTCTAAAGATACCAGCGTAACAACCCAGAGGGCTCTCAGAGTCCAAGTTCTAAAAGGACATGCAAGCCATGGCCGGTTTGGCTCAGTGGATAGAGCGTCAGCCTGTGGACTGAAGGGTCCCAGGTTCGATTCTGATCAAGGGCATGTGCCTTGGTTGCGGGCACATCCCCTGTGGGGGGTGTGCAGGAGGCGACTGATCGATGTTTCTCTCTCATCGATGTTTCTAACTATCTCTCTCTCTTCCTTTCTGGAAGCTGGGAGAGGCCCATTCTCCAGGGGCTGAGCTCCAGGCCCAGCCATCAGCATCCCAGGGCCCTAAGAGAAGGCGGAGATCGGCTCAATAAATCTCTCAGGTGACCTCTGGGGAATCAAAGAGTACAGGCAAAATGCTGGAATATTGGAGACTAACAGACAGCATCCCGATTTCCAAAAGAGGTGAAAACAGATTCCATTAACCACAAGACTGGAGAGCCTACCCCCAACCCCTGCAGGGAGGTAAGCCACATTCTCAGCGAGGCAGGTTTCCGAGCAGGTAGGAAAGGAAGCACTACGACAAAAGCAAATGCAGCAGGAAAATGGGCAGAGCACAGGAACCGGCAATTCACTGAAGAGGAAATGCAAGTGGCCAATAAATAGAAAAGATACCTCAAATCATGGAAACACACATTAAATAATCAAATACTATTTACCTATGCAGCAGCTCAGCAAAAATTTTAAAAATTGGTAATATCAAATATTGGCAAAGATTCAGGGAAATGAGCACTCGTTAGTGAAACATACAGCTTTCTTTAAATGGCATTTTGGTGATACTGATTAAAAATTAAAATACACTGTATTTTGACCCAAGAATCTGAAAGACTTACACAAGCAGAGGCTTGTAGAAAGTTTTCCATTAAAAGACTATTTATTACAGTAAAAGATGAGAGAAAAACTATCCCAAGTTTAACACGTGCTTAAATACAGTATGGTACTATGAAATATCATACAACAGTCAAAATATAAAGTCGATCAATATACACTGATATAAAATGATTAAGATGTGATTATTCATACTTTAAAAAAGCACAAAAGAGCCTGGCTGGCATGGCTCAGTGGTTGAGCGTTGACCTGTGAGCCAGGAGATCAGGGTTCGATTTCTGGTCATGGCATATGCTCAGGTTGTGGGCTCAATCCCCAGTGTGGCGTGTGCGGGAGACAGCTGACCAATGATTCTCACTCATCATTGATATTCCTCTCTCTCTTCCTCTCATCAACTTACTCTCTCTCTCTCTCTCTCTCCCTTCCTCTCTGAAACCAATAAAAATATATTTTAAAAAAGCACAAAAGGGCCGAAACCGGTTTGGCTCAGTGGATAGAGTGTCGGCCTGCGGACTGAAAGGTCCTAGGTTCGATTCCGGTCAAGGGCATGTACCTGGGTTGCGGGCACATCCCCAGTAGGAGATGTGCAGGAGGCGGCTGATCGATGTTTCTCTCTCATCCATGTTTCTAACTCTCTATCTCTCTCCCTTCCTCTCTGTAAAAAATCAATAAAATATATTTAAAATAAATAAATAAATAAATAAAAAAGCACAAAAGGAACCTATATATATCTATAGTGTGCATATGTCTATAAAAGAATAAAAAATAGTTTAATAGGATACCCATTAACCTGGTAACAGAGATGACCTTGGGAAGGTGATTAAGAATGTCTTTGTCTTTACCTTTTTGCATTTTTTAAAATAAGAGATCTTCATTTACTGTATAGTTAAATATATATATTTAACAAACAGAAATATATATATAACAAAAAAGTAGGACACAGTGAGTATTGGGGACCAGCAAGTGCACTGGAAGATGTGTCAAGCCCAAAATGTGTCATCCCTTCTCCTGGGATGACAAAGGAATTGCCAATGGCACTATGAATAGAGTGCCCACAGGCTAATCCTGGACACAGTAGAATAGCTCAGGCTAGATGACAATGCTAGAGGTATTATCAAACTTGACTGTAGTTGAGAGTTACTGATTCAGGACCCACTTGGAAACTTCCAGGACAGTCTTTGGTCCTGTCCTATTCAACATATTCATTCATTCTCTCGGCCTCTCACTCATTCAACAGACATTTGTATCATCATGCAGAAGACACCAAGATGATCTCTGCCTGTGGCCTAGGATACTGAGAAGTCTAAGGGAAAAATAAAAAAACAGCATGACAAACGCTTGACTGAGGTGTTGTGGAAGCTCCAAGGGTAGGGCCTGACCCCAACCTGGCCTCTTGAAAGAGGTCACCATCTATACCAAAGGTCTGTTCACCTAAAGCAGTGGTTCTCAACCTTCTGGCCCTGTAAATACAGTTCCTCATGTTGTGACCCAACCATAAAATTATTTTCATTGCTACTTCATAACTGTAATGTTGCTACTGTTATGAATCGTAATGTAAATATCTGCTATGCAGGATGGTCTTAGGCGACCCCTGTGAGGGTCGTTCGACCGCCAAGGGGTCGCAACCCACAGGTTGAGAACCGCTGAAGAGAGCATGAAGCTAGGAAACACCACTAACACCCCTAATCAAATACACGTGAATTGGAAAAGGTGGACAAGCTAAAACACACCATGAGAAATCCATTTGCAGTCACCGAACAATCCCACCTTTAGGCTGCTGGAGGTCCCTTTTGTTTTGAGGCCTCACCAAACGAAGACCATTGTCCAAGAGGCCTCTAAGCAGAGCAAGGGGTCCAGATGGTGAAGAAGGGCGCCCGTATCACATGAGGACTGGCTAAGGGCACACCCTGAGTTTTCCGGGGCCACCCAACTCTCTCCGGGAGCCAACCACAGCCAACAGGTTCAGGAATTTCCAAGATCCCTGATTGTCCCCTCGCCTTGCCCACTGGAGGGAAGGGGCGGATGGAAGATAGCACGGTGGGCAGTCTGTGGCACAGTTTGCAAGATCCTTTTTGCCCTCTCTCTCCTCCCCAACTGGTGTCCTAAGGTTGTCCCTTCTACCACACAGAGGAGAAGAAAAAAGGAAACAGGTCAAGATCCAAGGCTGTGTACTCTAGGCCGTCATGTCACTCTCCCAGGCCTCTGTTTAATGTGAGTGGGCTAGCCCACTCCCAGGGGACCTCCCGGCTGTGACAGGCAACACGTGTTGCATTCTTATCCCAGAATTCAAAGAGAGGGCAATACTTAATGCCAGTGGATTCGTGGTGAGTCCTGGGGCACTTGGGAGTTCTTATTTGGGTCCCCGTCCTAAGGAGGAAGCACGCTGGCAGGGACCTTCCGCTGGGACTGACCTCTTCAGTGACGACCGAGACAGCACCTGCGCAGCCTGGTTCATGGCCCTGACCCAGGCGTTCATGTCCTCCAGGGTGTCGGCACTGAAGTAGTAGGTCCTCATGCCCGACTGCTCGGCCTGAGAGCCCCCGGCGGAGGTGTTATAGATGAGCGCTCGCATCCCCAAGTGCACAGCCTGTAGGAAGGAGAGGGAAACCCGGAACAGAGAGGTTAGCACACATTTCACTTCCAGGAGCAAAAACAAGGAGACACTGGACCACGTTCTCCCCTCTTCCGGACTGAAAGCCCAGGCCCCACCCACTTGTCTCCACACCTGGAAAACACCACAGCTGGATTCCCCCTCTCAGTGCAGTCAGGCCCAGGGACCACTGTGCCTACCCCCCCACGGGAAAGCCGTGCAGGTGTCACCTGTGTCTGACTTATCTTACTCATGCGCGTAGGGAGGGACACACACCCAAGGCTTACGTGAGAAAGGCTTTAAATAAACCCTCATTCCCTGGAAGCCGGCTCTCGGGAATCCCTGTTTTGGTTCTTCTGAAGCACACAATTACTGGAACTGAGTCAAAACTCAGCCGCAACAGCAGGCAGCTGGGTGCAGTTATTCACTGCGCTTCGCAGCTTGGGCATGAAATGTGCTGTATGCCAATCAAAGAGCCGCTGTTCCGTCTCTCCCAAGAGGCACTACAAAGTTGGACAGAGCTATCATCTGACTGAAAATCCCTGTGTACCTACTATGTGCTAGGAAGCCTCTGGGTGGTTTCCCAGATATCCTTGCAAAGAGCCTGTGAAGAGGCACCAGGAATGGCCTCTAAGAAGCACCTGGGACAGTTTCCAAACGAGGGGCAAGAAATGTCCTGGACCTTCAGGCCATTGCCTATGGCTGGAGGGAACGTGTAAGATGGGAGCAGCTAAAAAAGGGGCTGAAGAGATAAGCTGGGGCTTTGTAAACCAACACTGGGCTTTACGCTGTAGGCCGTGGGCAGCCACTGAAGGGCTGATGTGGGAGCGCCACCTGAACAGACGTGCAACTTAGGAGCAGTGCGGAGGATGGACTGGAGACTGCAGAGGGGCCTGGGGGCGGAAGCCAACACTACGGAGCACTCGCTATGCAGCAGGCAGTGAGTGGGTTACCTAGGGGAGGGGCGATGGCTGCTGAGACAGACCAGTGACCGTGACAGTGAAGAGGAAGAGATGGATTTGAAAAAGACGCAAAATAAAATTGAAGCGGGAGAGGAAAATGGCAGCTTTCATTTTCTCTTCTTATTCCCTAATAACCCCCAGGCTGATGCAGAGTAGAGTATCAGCCCCAGGAAGGCGAGGACTTTGTCCTTCTCACTGTTGTATCCCCAGGATCTACATCCTGCCAAGTGAAACCACAGACAGAACACAAGACTGTTGAATATAAATAGGTGAAACACCTCATCTCTTGGCTGGCGTTCAGCTAGAATTCAGAAGGGGGGTCTTAATTTGGGGGGAGGGTGCAGGGGGAGGCACATGAAACCTTTGACAGTTTGATGAATCCTGTGACCTCTTCTCAGCATGTTTTTAAGTATACAATTAAAATAAAGGAAATATATTATGTTGAAATATCGTTATCAAATATTTTTAACTATTGTGAGGTAGTGATACAGGTGCTTCTTTAATAATACACCATAAAGCAAATGTAGGAATAATTACTGTCATTTCAAGGTGGGGATGCTCATAAATGATATCTCAAGATATTTACAGCAATTATAATGTGACGTGAGCATCTTTCTGATTTCTAGTGGTGACCAAGGCACAGGTGCTGCTGATACCTATTAAGGCCTACTTTCTTAACCAAAGGAAACGCTATAGGTTAAAAAAGGGAAGATATGATTTCTCCACTGACACTATGGGGTCTGCAGACTCAGGTCAGTTCCCCTTGGTCTTGAGAGAGGGAGAATGGCTCACAGGAGAGGGTTAAAGCATTTTCCCACTGAAGATCCTTGGACCCTTGGCTGAGTGGGGTTGTTTTCTGCTCCAGATCCTGGACCCGAAGGGCCAAGCTTACTCAGAGGTGACCAACAGGCCGAGGGTGGCCGTGCATCCAACAGATCTTTGGGGAGGCGCCCCAGCTGAGCCAGCAGAGCAGGCGATGTCTCAGAGAGCCCGGCTTGGCTCACCCTGCAGATCTGGCTGTATTCAGGGTCCATCTAGCACCCAGCATCCCAGGTCACGAGTAGGGACTGCCAGGCTGCAGGCACAGTAGGGGGAGAAAGACCAGGAGAAGACCATAAAACCTTTCAGGCTGTTCCTGTCCACCACTACAGCTAAGGCTGAATGATCTCAAGCAAGGTGCCCTAGCAACACTCAGAGAATTCCAGCTCTGGAAATAGAGAAGAACTGACATTAGAAACAGGCATAAGGCCCTTGACACCAAATACTGTCCATTCCTCAGTATGCCCAAGAACATGGATCCTGCCTTGCCCAGGGGACACCCACTCTGACCCCTAAAAGGGGAAAGAGATGCTGTAACCCAAAGGGAAAGGGTACCCTTTCATACTCAGGAAAGCACAGTCCTTTCTGGAGAATCAGCTGAATACCACCAGGTCTGCCGGCAGCAGCTTTTCTCTGCTCTCAGACCCTAAGGATCTCCCCTAGAAGCCCCTCCCCCAGCACATGCATGTCTTCTGTCTCCCAGACAAAAGGATTTTTCTTAGTAGAGTCTAAGAAAAAAATTTTAAAGAAAAGAATCTATGACACATAAAAGATGTTTTCCTAGAATCTATTTTCACAACTCCCCAGAAAGTGTTAAGATGGAATATAAATAGATATGATCAGTTACTTTGAGACTATTCCAGATGCTATCCCCCCAAAAATCACATACAACATCATTACCCAGATTGCTTGCCCAACAGCAACACTTGACCCTAGAAAGGAAGGTTTTCTAAGCAAAAGACCAGCCTGAAACCCATTGAACAAACTGGTTTCAGAGCCCACAATAAGCAGGAGAGACTTTTGAACAATTAAAGAGAAGACTATGCTAAAATGATAACAATGAACATTAAGTCTAATCACCTCGCACCCCTGACCATGTGCGTGCAGGAGGTAACCAAAATAAGAGGAAGAGAAAGAAACTGTCTTCCTTCCCTGGAATTCAATTGAAAGAGGATATAGTTCAGGTTCGAGGTCTGTCTCCATCATCTTCCAGCCCTGTGATTTTGGGCAAGTGTCTCCTGCGCTCCAATCCTATAAAATGAAGCTAATAATACTGACCTCACCAGCTCCCCACAAGCACTCCATGAGCTAACATGGATAAAAGCACTTCTCAAATCATCAAAGGTCTTGCAGACATAAGGCAATACCACATAATGCAACATGAAGTGGGAGAGCATCCCCACTTCAAACCAAGAATCAAACCATCACAATTCTGGAGTCATGAGGAGAGTGACAGTCAGGGGAGAGGCAGACAGCTCACACCTGTCGATGAACAAAGCTGAAGCATAAGCTCGGGAAGGAGGTGGAGGAAAATGAGACCTGACTTTTCAACCACCACAGTGTACCCCAGATCAAAATGCTGATGCAGACGATCACTTGCCAATGACGCCTTTGGACACTGCATACCAACACTTCCCTTTAACCCTCCCAGAGAACAGAAGGTGTCTTTTTGTGTGCTTTCCATGGTCCTTTAACTATCTGTGGCTGGAAAACTTAACTTTTTTTTTTTTTTTTTTTTTTTTACAGAGACGAAGGGGGAGGGATAGAGAGTTAGAAACATTGATGAGAGAGAAACATCAATCAGCTGCCTCCCGCACACCCCCAACTGGGAATGTGCCGCAACCAAGGTACATGCCCTTGACGGGAATCGAACCTGGGACCCGTCAGTCCGCAGGCCGACGCTCTATCCACTGAGCCAAACCGGTTAAGGCTTGACTTTCGTTCAACCTCCTCTTTAGTAACTACTGCCTAGTACTCTTCTTGTACCCCCAACATGGAAATAGCCAAGCTATATAAGCAGTGTGAGCAGGAGCCCAGACCCCAGCTTGAATGCATGTCACTGCCTCGTATCCTGAGCAGCGTGAGAAGTGTTCCCCGTGGCGACTGGCACCAGCAGCCACTTGCTTCAGTGAGACTTCCACTCCAACTGCCAATAATGTTGACCTTCAACCCATCCACCCTCACCATCCCCAGGAATCCAAGAAATATCAGCAGTGGAGGAATTGTGGAGGCCACTGGAAGAGAGGGCCTCAAGGTTCCCCAAGTTTGGGCCTGACCACACCTTCTGGAGTCTCCACATCTGTCTGTGAAGATGCCAGAGGCTGTCAAAGGATGGCCATCAGTTATGGCGATGAAGGAAATAGAAAAGGGGTTTTACGGCTAAACGGATTTCCCTAGGAAACTCCAATGATCCAGAAAGTAAACCAAATTTGATTCTACTTGCTTTTCGACAATATAAACAAAATGGCCAAACCTAAAAATCTCTTCAACAGGCAGGCCCCCTAACCCTCACTATAAATGTTCATAATATAACTGATATAAATCCATGACGAGGGACCATCCTTTGCACTAAAATGGCTGGATGCTAGTTAGGCTGGCTGTTCACAGTGATAAGAAAGCAAGGGAAGGGCTGTGTCCACTCTGCCATCACAGGACTAACAGAGAGAGGAAGAGAGGGGTCAAAATATTTGAGCGAGGCTGGGGGACTCAGCAGCTCCGATACAAATGAAAGCACTTGTCATTTGATATTGCTCATGTGGAAAGGATTTATAACTGCTAACATGAGTGAAATGCTCGAGCTTAACTTCTTCCCATTCCCCAGAAAAAGAACTGCTTTTAATACAGCCTTATGTGGGAACACAGCTTCCCAGGATGGCGTTTGAGCCCCAGAGGAGCGGGGGCAGTACCTTAAAGGAATACTTGCGGCTTATGCGGTCCTCAGGGCCCACCGGCGATGTGAAGTAGCTGGGCAGAGGAATGCTCCCGAGGACCACTTCTTCTCGGCTGTCTTTGGACGGAAAAACACATCAGAATAGCCTTCTGTGGCACCTGCCTTGGGCTGGTCCACCCCACTGCCCTAGCTCAGGGCTCCTCTCTCTCCCCAGGATGACGGCATTCACTGACAGTCCATGCAGCTGTTCCCCTGGGGCCTCTGTTCTTATGCTAGAACTACAGGTGAATCAGGCTGGGCCCTCTCCCCCAGGGCTGAAACACACATGTAAGCACACTCAGCTGCTAACTCCTGAAATACAACATATGCCAAGGGCTGCGGGAACGGAGGCAGGGGTGACACACAGTTTGAGGATGTCGCGACTTCAGAAGGTAATATGTAAAGTGTCTTCAAGGATGGGGAAGGGCGTTCTGGATGGAGCAAACCTCACAGGTAGGTGTGAAGCATCCTACCTTCTACCTCCATCCTCCTCCTCCTCCTAGTCATCTTCACTTCCTGACGACAGTGTTCCTGTCTCTCTCCTACTGAAAGGCACTTTGGACACATACTGCCCATTGGACATAGAATGAAGTCAACTTCCTTTACCTGGTGTCACAGCCATTACCCACCTCCTAAGCCTCATCTCCTGGTACAGCCTCCATTCAAGACTCACTCTGGCCTCACAGGTCTGTCACTCCACTTTCTTCTGCTTCTAGAACTTTTACTGAAGTTATTTCCTCTGCCAGTAATGTCCATTCCCTGCCTTCTCCCTACCCCCACACACAAGCAAAGCAGTACCTATCCTTCAAAGCCCAACTCAAGTCCTCTCTCTTCTGAGAAGCCGCCCAAATGCTCCCACATGCAATTAACTCCATACTCCCCCTAAACTGCCCAAGCACTTTGGATACCCTTTAAAGCACCTGTCACTCCCAATCTTGTCTTAAAAGTAGGCTATCTCTTCCTCCACACTTTGAGGCATACCTTCCTTCTCACTGCTGCACAGCCTACCTCTATGTACTGGGGCTCCATAAATGTTCATACGGCCAACTCAATCCACCAGTTGTCCATCCAATATCCCAGTGGATAAATCCAGATAACAGGTTACAAAATACAATGTCTACCTATACTTCCCACCTCTCCAGATTACGTCAAAGGTGTGCTTGTGTCCTGAGTGGGGCAGAAGCTGACACAACTGCAGATCCTGAGACCCTAAGCAGTAGCACACTAGATCCTATTTATTTTAACGCAATAAATGGAACGTCCAGAGCTGGGACTTGCAAAAAATGATGTCACCAACCATCCATATATGTAAAAGTGAACACCTCAGCAGACCAATAGGTTACTAATTAGCTCAGTCACTGAATCTGAGACGACCACATTTACATCACCTCACCACCCCCGCCAGCACAGAGCCCATGGTGGCTCGAGCCTCAGCTCACCTTTATAGTAAAACAAGCAATAATCAGCAAGCACAAACCACCTCCTTTTCCACAGCCTCATCCCAGAGCTGTCCTGCAAAGCAAAGAAACAGAATCAGGACAGTGTCTGAGCACACTGTTCCCTCTCCCCAATCTTGATTTGCCCATATTCACTCTTTCAAGAAATTAATACATTTTTATTTTACAGACATCCTTTCACTAGGGAACTAAATTTTAGATTCAATGATGGTTGAGCCCTAGGAAGTTTTTTTTTTCTTTCCTGGAAACAGATTCCTATATTATAAGCATCCTTTTAGAAAGAAACATATGGATTCAAAAATACAGTTCTTCATTTAAGAATGAAATCAGCTTTTAAGAAAAAGTTTTGTTTAATTAAATGCTACGCTGTAAAATGCTTTCACTTAAGCTGATTAGGAAACTGATTTACACATTATGAAACCAAGAGGTTAAGTTAGCTAATTAATCAATGAAGCAAGTTCTCATTTGATTAAGTTCAGTTCTCCACCAGAGAGACTGATTTTGTTTCTACCGTAAGAGACTATACTTTCCTTCCATTCAATGTAAAGCGACTTGGATTTTCTTGCTATCAAATTGTTTCATTAATAAGAATTTGTCTTTACTCTTCTAAAATGTAAATCATTATATTTATGAAGTATTTTTAGGTGAATGTGAAAATTTTTAAGAAGACATAATCACAGTAGGAAAATAGTAGTGTTTTAGGATCAGTTTATTCCCAAACCTAGGAAAATTCCAGAGCCTTTTTAGCTGTTAAAATTGTGTTCCTTCTGCAAAAGTTTTTGACAGTTTAAATTTTTTTTAAAAAAGCCCAGTTGGCGTGGCCCACTAGTTGAGTGTCAACCTATGAACCAAGAGTTCATGGTTCGATTCCCAGTCAGGGCACATGCCTGGGTTGCAGGCTCAATCCCCAGTGTGGGGCATGCAGGAGGCAGCCGATGGATGATTTTCTCTCTCATCAGTGATGTTTCTCTCTCTCTCTCCCATCCCTTCCTCTCTGAAATCAATAAAAATATACATATTTTTTAAACTGGACAGTTTCTAAACCTAACAACATGAAGTCTGTTCATTCTCTACTTACTAAAGTGCTAAAAACAAATTTAATTTGCTGAGTTCATACATTTCTTGGTTTTATTTTTTGCATTGACCAGATAATTTCTAAGCATATGATGGTTGCTTTGTTTGGAAAACTCCTCTCCACCCTTCCATACCTGGTTCAAACATCACTTCCTCTGGGAAGCCTTTCAGGATTCCCCCAAGCACAGCTACATTCTCTCTGCTGTGTCCACAGCACGCTACACACACCTCTGTTACAGTCACAACACAGCCAAGGGGCTGGCTAGGGGGTAGGGCTTGGGGAGAATTATTTATAATTCCTTCCTTCTCCCTCCACATTTCAAAGGAGTATTCTTTTATCTAATGGGCACAGAGATGCAAATGGAAAAAGTCAGAGGGTTAAATTACTCAGGGGAGAAAAGAGATGAGCAGAAGTAAGAAAGAAGAGTGAGAACAGAGCTGTGAGGGGAGGGGTATCCTTAAGAGAGAGGTGGTGCCAGAGGAGTGGTGACATAAAAGGCTGGAGAGCTGTGGGAGTTGCCATGGGGATCAGAACTGGGGAGACAGATTTCATGGGGACATTTATGGATTTCTTCTGTGTGGTGTGCAATGTAATGCCCTCCTGCCTTCCCATAAATCCTTTAGTAAAAATTTACATCATTGCTTTTGGAGTTGGATTTCTGTTTTTTCAGGTAACATGATATATGACAGAATGTGCTGAGTGAGGGTATGACATGTGAGACATGTGTCTATTTGTGTCTCTCCCGCCCCTCTCCTCCTGCAGACCTTCAGTTCCTCAAGGGCAGGAAGCACATGTTATCCATCTCCTTTTATCTGCTGTGAGAGCATTTAGAATATGGCAGGATGAATGAATGGATGGATAGCAAGGAGAGAAGGAAGGAGACAAGAGGGGCATGGTCTCTGGCCCTGGGCACTCACAGACTCTGCATGGCCAGAGGACCAGAGGCAGAGCAAGTGATGGGGAGGACAGAGATGAAGGATGGCCTTGGGGAGATGGAGCAGACTGGGAGGGCTTCATGACGGGATGGATGTGGGAGAAGGCGGAGCTGGTGGCGGTGCTGAGGTTTCTAACCTGAGATCCAGAAAAGCAGATTGTTGGGCGGGTAGGGGGGGGGGGTGGAGAGAAGGGGTGAGGAGACAATGAGCTGAGGTTGGCTGATTTGGAACTTGAGGTGCTAAGGGGCTAGACTGGGAAAGAGGAAAAACAGGGATTTTTCGGCCCAATGATAACAAAGACTCTAACATCAGGAAGGCAAGTGCTGGTGGGAAGGTTGGATTCGTATTGGCCCACCCACACCAGCACCTGGGTCCCAGCACAGCAAAGAGCACCAAGGGCCAAAGTGGGCAAGTGGGTTTGGGGAGGAAAGCTGTAGCCATTGAGTGGCGAGTCTACTCATAAAAACGAACAGCAAATTGCTCATTGCAGTCAGTGGGCGAAAACTACCTGCTTCAGATCAACTCAGGAATAGAACACTTATTATGAGCCTGTCCCCAGCTCCCAGGGGCCAGGGAAAGGAAAGAAATCAGCAAGAGCAATCCTATCCTCCCCACCCTCCCTCCTCAGCCTCCTCACCTGCTTGTGCAGCCAGCCCCTCACCACCACCGGAACATTGGGGTTCCTCCGAATGGCTTGGTCCCTCTTCCCAAAACTGTGGACTTTATTGCTGGACTTGATGATCTAGGGAAAAGCAGACTTGAACTCAAGCAGCTGCGAGGATTTAGGGAGGCACCAAAAAAGCACATGTGCGATGGGAGAGCTGCAGGCTCCCTCGGCCTCACTCTCCGCGCCAGCGCCCTTTGATCAGAAGAACAGTGAGGAGACATGGACCACCTTCTAATTAATAGGCGAGCCCCAGACCTGGCAAGCTTCCCATCTGGGTCACAGAGGAAAAAATTTAAAGGGATATTTCAATCAATTTCCACCAGCAGCTGTCTGCCCCAATAAGTCCTACAGCTTTCTGGAACAAAGCTACTTTTTGGTCACAGACTTTGCCAATCACCAGATATGCATCCCTCCTAGCTGGGGGCGGTCTCAGCACTTCTCCCCTGCAAGGCTGGCTCCTTTCCCTGCTCCCACAGCTCGAGTACAAGAAACCTCTGGGCCTTATTCAAGGGCACCCTTCCTCGGGGCCATCTGTCACAAAGTTTTCCAGGCCGTCTCTAACACAAGATACGCCTGGAAAGTGAAGATGCATCCAAGGGACAGGATGCCAGTCCTGGTTCTGTCAGCAATCACCTGTTTTCCTGGACAAGGGACACGCCCCCAACTGGCCTCGATTTCCCCATCTATTAGTGCGGGAGAATACTTCTCATGTGTGTCCTTCACAAAACTAGGGTCAAGGTCAAATGGGCTTCTGATTACAAAGGGGCTTGGCAACTATAAAAGAAGGGACAGAAGGCATGAGCAGCCAGGAGCTCACCTTGGGGCCGGGTTTGGCCTCCACGGTGGACGTGGTCCCAGTTGTGGACGTTTCGCTGACCATGCTGGACGGTCTTTGGTTTCTCTCTTGCTTCGACATACGTGGATTTGGCCTGTGGGGAAGATAGGAGAGTCCAGTGATTAAGTGCCAGACTGCGGTAGGAAGTGGTATCTGAGATTCATTCCTGCTTAGAACTGGTTGATGGGCCTTAAGCAACCCAGGACCGACCTTTTGGGGACCACTTGACTCCAGACTACAGCCTGAGGGCCAGGATGCCCAGCCTACCCATGTGCTTCATGGAATCAAGAGGATGACAGCGGGGCACATCTCCACAGCATGACACCCCACAAAGGGGCCAAGGCAGTCATCCCTGCCTGTTGTCCTAAGGTCCCCACATTTACTCTCTTACTTGCGTGTCTATGGCAGCTGCCCCATCACATGGTCACAGACCACTCTTCACAACAAGAGCAGTCCATACCCCTTACACACACACTCTCCATCTCCCTGGCTCACAAAAGAAGCTGCTTATAATTAGTAACAAGAAATCACTTGTGAACACATCCACACCCCCAGATACACACAGAGACTCACTTACATAAATGCCAGTAGGGCCTGCCTCCCAAAATAGACTACTCAACAAAGAGTCCTATTCTGGGAACACTCCAGTTGCCCCAAAATAGAGCCATTGGAGATATTAACCCCTTGAGCCATGCCTGGAGAGCAGGAAGAATGAAGCATGCCTGGTCCTCATAAGGACCCCAGGTACGTCCCAATCAGCATCCAGCGACATCATTCTTCCCACTTGCCCTGGAGGACCAGCACCTTGGGGACAACACTCAAGAGACGCCTTGCAGAACCCTTCTCACCTGCCTCCGCAGAGCCCCAGCATTTGCCAGTTTTTCAAAGCAGCGAGGAGGCAAATGCCTCCACACAAATTCAATGCTATCCTTGAACGGCCCGGGGCTGATTCCCAGATGCTGCTAACTATGGGACCAGTGAGCCTTCCGCAAAGCGCAAGTCCCAGAGGAGGCTGGGTTTTGTCCACTGCTCTGCCAGGCAACAGGGTCGAGGTGGCTGCAGGAAACTGAGGCTCTTTGCCTGAGGAGTGGAGAAAATCGGATCTGGAGGCTGGGCCAGGACCCCTCAGAGATGGAGATGGAAGATCCCAGGCAGGACACAGCTGAAGATGGAGCGCTCTGATGGCCTTTCTCCAGCCTCACCTTCACAGAGGTGCTACGAGGGAAAATCCTAGCTTCCACCTTAGAGATAAAATAGGCTGCTTCCTTGAAAAAACATTGCTGCTTGAAGAATAAGCGGTCCTTCCCACGCCCCAAGCCAGACCCCGGGACCCTGCACCAACAGAGAGGTTCCTCCCAGAAGGACCACAGCCACGGGCACCAGCTTTCCAAGGGGCTGGGTCCTGCCGGGTGCTTGGCAGCTGGAGATGCAAGTGCCTCAGGCAGAAGGCTCACTCACTGGCTCCTTATAGGCTCAGACACTCACTCCAGATTCCCCATCCATCCCACCCCCGCCTCCATCCCAGCCAGACTTTTGTCACTGCTCCCACTCAGAGAATGTCCCCACACTCAGCCCCCCTCGCTGTTGGCAGAGGCTGTCTCGCTGTTGGCAGAGGCTGCATGCAGCAGGGATCCTCGCCGAGTGGTGGTAGGCAGGGGCCCTGAGAGGCTGCCTTGTCTAGGCCCTGCCTCCAGAAAGAACTATGTCCCTAACGCCTTCCTGGAACCTGGTCTTGCCTGACTTTTCAGATTTCTAAGGTGTGAGTCAAGAAGAAATCTCAGGTCACCTCTGTTATGGCACCTATATCTCTAAGCTGAAATTCAGCACTTACTGTGTAACAATGAAAAAGGTTTGGTTGAGAATTTATCAAGTTTAATTTGTTCCCATTTAAGACTTATTCAAGACTTATAGAGAATATTTGAGAAATATTAAGAAAAGCTGAAAGAAAAAATCACCACAGTCCCACTACCCAAAGGAAAATCATTTTTCTAATACTTGTTATATTTACTTTCATTTGTTTCTATATACCTGTTTTTGTTTTTGTTTTGGGGATGGGGTGGCTTTTTGGTTTTATATAACTGTGATCACACTGTTTGTGATTTTGCATCTTGATTAAGAAAACTTATTATAAACATTTTCTCCATTCCTTTAACTCATCCACATCATTTCAAGTGACTACCAGATTCCATCCATTAGCTACACCACTCCTCCACGGTGGGACAGAGAAAGGATGATCTGGATTTGTGACTGCCCAGAAAATCCAGGACAGGTGGCCACTTTGCCATTTTTGCACCTTACCTCTGCAGCTCTAACTTTAATCATCTTCTTGCATGCCAACACTTTCTCCTCCCCACACTGGCTTCTGAAATGCTGGCTGGTCGAGGAGCTCCCAGGCCAATAGTATAGGAAAAAAAGATGACTGCCCTGCAGTGTTGGGTGAGTGAGGACAGAGGGTACAACCACCACCTAGGGAGCCATATTTCAACTGGAGGAGAAGTGATTGCGGGCCCAACACTGAACATCAGTGAGGGACGGGGGGGGGGGGGGGGTCACATGAAGGCAACTCCATTCTTCATGCCTACAGAAACCTCCGCTAAGCCACACCCAGAGAAAGCTGGCTTGTTAGGAAGTATGACTGAGGTCCACACTAAATCTTCCTGCAGGGAGGGGACCATGGTTGTCTCCACAAATAAAGAGTGTGTCTTCACCAGGGCTCCCCATGGGCAGGGACAGCTCCCAGTTGAAGAACAGACTGGCCCCTGACCTGGCTCGCTGATACAATGAGGTGCGCACAGCTACCCCCTCAGCCAAGTACCAAGATCTGCCTTCAGAGGATGTTCTTCTGAATCTCCTCAACGTGGGTTATGATCTCATGGGTCCTACATGGGTGACTATGACTTCTGGAAAGAACTGGAAGTTATCCAGAATTACAACACACACACAAATAAACAAAACACTGATGGATGGCCATGCTTGGGACACCACTTGGTATCCAAAAATGAGAATATATATATATATAAAAAAAAATCTCAAAAACAATTTTCTCACTTGGCTGAAAGCTGGTTCTGTTGGAAACTTCTAGAGGCTGCTTACCACACCGTTTTAAGCAACGGGAACATCAGTGGTGCTTGTGTGAAGCCTCCAGAAGAGACAACACTGAAGGGATCATCACTCAAGTGGATGTATGCCTTCTGGTACATTTGCTTCAGTCAGTTACCTCTTAGGGGGTGTCCCCCCTTTATTTTTTATTTTTTTTAATATATTTTATTGATTTTTTACAGAGAGGAAGGGAGAGGGATAGAGAGTCAGAAACATCGATGAGAGAGATACATCGATCAGCTGCCTCCTGCACATCCCCCAGTGGGGATGTGCCCGCAACCCAGGTACATGCCCTTGACCGGAATCGAACCTGGGACCTTTCAGTCCGCAGGCCGACACTCTATCCACTGAGCCAAACCGGTTTCGGCTATTTTTAATTTTTTGTTAATCCTTACCTGGGGATATTTTTTCCATTGATTTTTTTTTTTTTTGAGAGATTAAAAAGGAGGGGGAGACATACACAGAGAGAAACATTAATATGAGAAAGACACATCAATTGGTTGCCTCCGACATGCGCTCCGACAGGGGCCAAAGATCAAGCCTGCAACCAAGGTACGTGCCCTTGACTGGAATCGAACCTGCAACCTTTCAGTCTGCAGGCCAATGCTCAGCCAGGGCAGGATACTCCACTTTAAAGCCTGGCGGGAAGACACGATTTGACCTCAACTCCTCAGACCAAAGTATACTCCCGGGGTTCACCCAAGAACCCTCCTCCTCCCCCAGAAAAGTGCATGTGCCCTGAGCTGCGCAGCTGGGAAGATGGCTCAGTTTCCAACAGCCTGCCCTTAGGCACGGGAGTCACACAGACCTCGGGAGAGGAGACGAAACCCTGCACGTGCTATGGGGAGGCAGACTCTCGTGTCATTAAATCAAACCTATTAACTTAAAAGCCTGCTGGCCAGGTGTCTGTGCTATCTGGATTCCCAGAGTACAGCGGGATGATTCGAACAAAGACGTTTTCCTGGGTTTGGGCTGCACGAATGCTGGTTATTTTGCTGGAAGGCTCTGGGCTGAAGCTCAAAACAGTGAGCTGGAGTTGTAACTCAATTGCCTCCCCTCTGAAAGGAACAAACGAAGTTAGGAGCAGACAAAACTCAGTCTGGAGAAGCTCAATAGGAAAATGACTTCATTCTACTCTGCACCGCCTCAAGGATGTGTCAGGTGAGCCTGGGCCGGGAGTTACTCTCTCGTCCTTCCGTTTCTGTTGGTAAAAGGAGCTGCCGCTGCTTCCTACCTATAAACGCACACAACCCTGACAGAGAGGGTGGCGAGAAAGGGAGGTTCTACTTCAGAAGCTATTTCTTTCTGTTGGGTATGAACTTAGGTGAGTTTGGTTGATGGGACCCTCAGCTGCCTCTCCGTCGACATTGAGAAGAGGAGCAATTGAAGTGGAATCACAGCAAGACCCTTCCCTACCTACTGCCATCACAACAGGTAGGTCACCAACCTTAGGGACAGGTACACAAGGTCAAGCAAGCAGAGGGGCTGGGCTATACTTGCCCAGCACCTACTATGTGTCAGGCACGTTGCCCACATCACCTCCCTTAACCTGCAAAGCCAGTTTCCCATCTCCATTTCATAGAGGAGGAAATGGAGGCTCAGGGAGACTTCATGACTTGCCCAAAACGGAAGTTGGACTCCACAAACCTTGGGCCAGAGACACCAGCCCACAGCCAAGTCCCCAAGTCTGACAGAGGCAGGCTTTGCTCTTCTCAGCCCCAAGACTACCCCCCAAACCCAGAGGATCCTGGGGTGCTGGAAAGACCAGGAGCCCAGAAAAACTGGGTCTCAATGAAGCTCTGCAGCTGACGGACTCCTCCACAAGTCACATCGCGCCTCTGGGCCTCAGTTTCCGTTAGTGTAGAATGGGGTGAAAACCACTCTTCTCTCACAAGGCCGTTGTATGAATTGAAACACTGCTTAGAAAACCACGAAGAATGGCTCTAAATGAAAAGCAACTTGTGGCTGTCACCAATGGGTCCCCCAGAATTTAAA